CTAGGCCAGATGGATTAGTAGCCAAGTAGGTTAAGTCATAATTACGCAATGAGCACTCGTAGACGGTTCTGTGGATGGAAAAGAAATAGCCTCGTCAAGTGTGGATACATCGACAGTGACACCGGGAGTAGCAAACGGAAAGACAGACTCGTCAAAGATAACGTCACGCGAGATGTATATACGACCCATAGATCGATCAAGACACTTGTACCCCTTATGCATAGGACTATATCCCAGAAAAACACACATCTTGGACCGAAACTCTAGTTTGTGTGAGTTATACTTCCGCAAACTAGGCCAACAAGCACACCCGAAGGTACAAAGAAAAGAATAGTTGGGTGGAATTTTCAGAAGACGATGAATAGGAGTATCTTGACCAAGCACGGGGGTGGGCATGCGGTTAATAAGGTAACACGCAGTCAGAAAAAGCTTCATCCCAATAACGTAAAGGGAGAGACGAGTGAGCCAACAAAGCAAGACCAGTTTCAACCAAGTGTCGGTGTTTGCGCTCGGCAATGCCATTCTGTTGGGAGGTGTGAGGGCAAGAGACTTGGTGAGAGATGCCCAGACGAAGAAAATAACGGTGCAACTTATGGTATTCAACCCCCAGTCAGATTGGACAGTTTAAGCTTAGCATCCAAAAGGCGCTCAACATGTGCTTGAAAAGCATAGAACACCTGTTCAACATCAGACTTATGTTTCAGTAGATAGATCCAGCAAAAACGGGAGTAGTCGTCAATAAAACTCACATAATACTTGTACCCCCTAGAGGAAGCATGAGCAGGGCCCCAAACATCAGTATGAACTAATTCAAGAGGCATAGTAGACACACGAGCAGAAGCAGTATAAGATAGTTGATGACTTTTACCACATTGACAAGCATCACAAACTAAAGCAGAAGTATCTGAGGTTGAACACTCGAGATCATTATTCCTAACAATGGAACTGACGACATTTTTAGATGGATGACCGAGACGCTGATGTCACTGAGATGAGGAGACACGGATGCTGGATGACGCTTGACGCTCAGACAGATGCGAGGCTCGTCCGAGTGGAAGAGGGTAGGGCCCTCCTTTGCTTCTACCTCGAAGAAGAATTCTCCTGGTGGCTTTGTCCTTAACAAGGAAAAAATATTTATGAAATTCAATGAAGATACGATTATCCGACACAAGACGATAGACTGATAGAAGATGTTGGCTGATATTTGGAACATGTAAAATATTGTTCAGGCGAAGAGAAGAACCGGCTAAGGTCGAGTGACCAATATGCGAAATAGACAAACCTGAGCCGTTGGCCACCTGAACCTGATCATGGCCGCCATAGCGCTCGCGGAACTGAAGACGCTCCAGGTCACTAGTCAGGTGATCCGTGGTGCCGGAGTCCAAAACCCAGTGCGTGGAGTTGTTGGAGGAGATCGATGCATTATATGTCGAGCGGCCATTGCCGGTGGAGTAGTCTGAATCGAAGCGCTTCTTGCTGGTGTCGGCTTCGTGACCCCAATTCTTGCAAATCTGGCACCTCGGGCGCCAGCAACGATTGCCATTGCGGCCGTTGCCGCCTCCTCCACCGCCGTTGTTACGACGGTTGTCTTGGCCGCCGTGCTGGTAGCCCTGCCCCTGTTGCTGCGGGTAGCCTCCAGCAGGGCGGACGTCAGTGGCACGACCAGTGTCGGGTGCTCGAGGACGGTTGACGGGGGCGGGAGCACCGAACTGTGCCACGGCGTTGGCCGACGAGGTCCACTCCTCATCGTCGGCCTGCTGCGACAGCTGCAGCACTTCATACTTGAGAACCATGGAGTAGAACTCAGCCAGCGCGACCGGGGTCACCACGACGCTGAGCGAAGCCGCGATCGGGTTGAAGGCCTTGCCCAATCCGGTAAGCATGTAGTCGATGATCTCGTCATCAGCGAGAGGGGATCCAGTAGAGGCCATGGCGTCAGCAAGAGCCTTCACCTTGTGCATGTACTCGCTGGCAGTCATGTCGTTCTTCTTGAGCGACTGAATCTGTCGCCGGATGTGCCGAACCCCGGCACGGTTCTGCGCGCTGAACATGGCGTGGATGGAGGTCCACGCGGCAGCAGCGGACTTGCAGCTGATCAGCTGAGAAGCAATGTCCTCCGTCATGGAGGAGAGGAGCATCGCGAGGACCTTCTGGTCCTGCGTCCACCACGTTGCATACACAGGGTTTGCCACAGTGGTGGCGGCAGCACCCGTCCCCTGGGAGATGGTTGTGGGCGGAGCAGCGACGGAGCCGTCGAGGTAGCCATGGAGAGAGGCACCGGAGAGATGCGTCACGGCGAGGGTGCGCCATAGCGGGAAGTTGCCGCGATCCAGTCGTACGCCAAGGGAAGGCGCGATGGACGGGACTGGCACCGTCGCGGCCGGAGGCGTCACAACCGGGCAAATAATGGCCAGTTGCATCGTGGCGGAAGAGGAAGCAGACGCCATCGAACAGGAGCTGCGAGGCCGGGCGTTGACGCAGGAACGAGCGGCGACGCGAGATCGATCGAGGCGAGCGGCGATGCGATCGAGCGAGCGGCGACGCGAGAAAACGAGCGTGCGGTGCGGCTTGGAAAAGAGGCTCTGTTACCAAGTTTGATTTAGGGTTGCGTGGGGTATAGCCTCCACATATCTCGTATATATATAAAATCAACAATACAGAGTTAGATTACAATACGACACGTATAAGACCGTTTCCAGCAGCTACCAGTGGCTGGTGCATGATGCTGCAACGCGAGGAAAAGTCATGGGGTAACTTGACTGCTTCGTCAACCGATCGAATGGTTACAAAGGGTGGATCCGCGAGCCAACTGATTGATTCCCGCCATATATTATAGTATCTACTTATTACATATTCTCTATGTCTGCTACTTAAAAAGAAAATACCGTTCCCTCTTAAATCAAATCCTTCATCCAACCTTCTAAATTTGATTGATGGTAAAGCCTGGTACCGGTCAGACATGTTTGATAACCCAATAAACAGTAATAAATTCAATATCCGTAAACAAATAAATACTAGGGTTCAAATCCTGGTGCTCGCATTTATTCCTGGATTTATTTTAGGATTTCCGGCGATGCACATTCAGTGGGAGGAAACGTTCCCGTCGACGACGAGGTGCCTACGGTGACTTCGTAAATCTCAAGATGATATGCCGGCTCAGTCTTTCGGAGGTGCTCATAAGGATAGGGTGTGCGTGTGTGCGTTCATAGGGGTGAGTGTATGCGCGTGTATATGAGTGCTTATATCGGTACTGATGTTAAAAAAAACCCAATAAACAGTAATAAATTCAATATCCGTAAACAAATAAATACTAGCAATTAATTTGTTATATCTTTGGTAACTCAATAAAGTAGATCAATCACATGCACATACCTATGTTGCCCCCGTGTCAAACCTATTTACTTAAACAAAGAGTAGCGTTCCTTTTTCTTTCAGCAGAACGCTTTGTCAATTGGTCTCCTGCTCCCAACACGTCCCTTCACCGAATTTTTTTTTCCAACTGAATTTTTAGTCCCACCACACCTTTTTTTCGCACATTCCCAGTACGATAATAAATCACCTTAATTTACATATCTTTTACACCAATTTCATCTTAATGTACCTACCAAATTTTTTTATACAATGATAGGCAGGATTTGATAAAAACTTATTTACACAATCAGGGGTAGGATTTGATAAATATTTATTTACATAACCATTTTATGAGCAGATAAATCACGAGGTAAACGTACTAGAATATTTAAATGCCCGTGTGTTCTAGTGATTTCAAAAAGTCACTCACAACCTGGTGCATTGATTTCGTAGATCTCTGCCACGTAAGAGGATCCGATTCAGCATCTAGCTCCCCGTAAATGCAAACCACAAGCGGCGTCATTTTCGCAGCGCGCTCGAGTCCGCAAAATGGCGTCACCTGGGCAATAAAATGAGAAATATCGGTGCCATGAACTCTTGGATACGCCTTCATAAATTCAGTACGCCATATCTACCTCTACGTAGTACTAGTCTTGACGAGTATACGCACGTCTACTCACCCAAATTGTGTACGCATTCAATTTGGCACGATAAATCTGCGCGATCGAACGTATATGTCACTCGGTCACTCCCCTCAAAATAAATAACGTATCTGTCACTCAATCAATCTCATTTCTTCGACGCGAGAAGACGACGCCGAATCCATCCAGCACCGGTGATTGTTGAAAGATACATGCATGATCTGGCAAAATACACCTGGGCAATCTTCAACACCAAAACAAACGGTGCTGCCTCTTTGTTTGAATGAAGATGAAGAAACGGTGCCGCGCCTCCGGTTTCGGTGCTTGTCGGGGTGCACATATATATACATACCAAACCCACCCCCACCCCCACCTTTCCCATCGTTTTCCCATCGCAAAAACATTAGCTTGGATCGGACAGAGCTTGGC